GCTAGCAATCTATCACTTGAGCCACAGCACCACTTCCGGCTTTTTTTCTTTTTGCTTATGTGGTGCTGAGGAATCGAACCCAGGGCCTCATGTATGCAAAGCAAGCACTCTACCACTGAGCCACCTTCCCAGCCCCAGTTTCTAGAAAGTTCTGAGGGACACTGGTGCTGCTGGCCTGGGGACGGTGCGTCCGTGTCATCATCTCCCGCATCACTGTGGGTCACCCCCCTGCCCCCGCCACTGCAGGCCCTGAGCACGTTCCCTTCCGTGTTTTTTTCTTCTTCTTCCAGTACTGGGGTTTGAACTTGGGGCCTTGCGCTTGACAGGCAGGTCCTGCAAGGCTTCATGCCTCCAACTCTTTAATTTTAGGTCCGAGACTGGGACTTGAACTTGGTATTTGCTGCTTTTACTCACTGGCTCAGTGCTCGACCAACTGAGCCACACCGGCTCTTTTTTTGATCTAGTTGTTTTGAAATAGGATGTCACCTTTTGCCTTGGCTGCACCTAGATATTCTCTCCTCTCTCTGTCTCTGTCTCTGTCTGTGTTTCTCTCTCTCTCTGTTTTTCAGCCGGCACTGGGGCTTGAACTAAGGGCCTGGGAATTTTTGCCCAGGGCTCGTGTCCTACCACTTAAGCCACAGCTCCACTTGCAGCTTTTTGGTGGTTACATGGAGATAAGAATCTCTTTCCTGCCTAGGCTGGCTTTAAACCCTGATCCTCAGAGCTCAGCCTCCTGAGTAGCTGGGATTACAGGCATGAGCCACCAGTGTCTAACTTCTGAATTATTTTGACAAAAATTCTAAATCTTTATGGTACATGTGATGCTGCCAAATCTATACATGTTATAGAATGGCTGAACCGATGATCAAATCCATGATCGCGTGTACGTAAGTTTATGTGCTAAGAGCTCTTATGCTGGATTTCTCCAATTTATTCTTCCTGTCAGGCTGAAATTTTAAAACCTACAAACAACATCTCACCAATCCTACCCTTGCCAGCCTCTGTAACCACCACTGAGCTCTGCTGCTGCGAATGTGGCTCTGAAGAGTCCTCATATGAGTGGGAAGCACGCGGCATTCTGTCTCTCTGCGTCTGGCTTCTCTCATTTGGGATAAGGTTCTCCAGTTTCGCCCATGTGGCGACATATGACAGGATTTACTTCTTATTTGAGGCTGAATCAGATTCCATTGTGGGTGTGTTTACCACTTTTTTTGGTGGTTCTGAGGTCAAACTTAGAGCTTCATGCAGCTAAGTACACACATGCTCTGCCACCGAGAAATCACCCCAGCCCTCTATGTAACCTGATTTCTTTACCCATCCATCTGATCTTAACACACAAACAACGTTCATATTGCAGTTAGGTGGTGGAAAGATGACAGGGAAGGAGGAAGGAAGGAGAGGATCCAGGAAGACACAATGGGGCTCAGGCCTGTAATCCTAGCCACTCAGGAGGCTGACATTGGAGGATCGCAGGTGGAAGATGGGCCAGCGTCCCTTCACTGTGCAGGCTGGGGCCTTCCATTCCGGGTCTGCTCCATGTCCGGAGAAGCTGGGTCCCGCGCAAGGTCTGGGAGTCAGCTTTCATCCCTGTCAGCAAGGACCTGACAGGAGTAATTGCTGTCAGAGGTTTCAGTCCCTGATTGCTTTGCACCTGTGGCAGCTCAGTGCATCTGGTTGGGAACGCCTGGCGAGCATACCTGGGCAGCACACCTGTCCAGCACACCTGGATTGCACACCTGGCAGGAACACCTGGCCAGCACACCTGGCGGGAACACCTGGGAAACACACCTGGCCAGCACACCTGGCAAGTACACCTGGTGGGAACACCTGGCAAGCACACCTGGTGGGAACACCTGGCAAGCACACCTGCACCCCATACTCGGCAGCCAAGAAGCGTGCAGGGGCACAGAGGGGCAATCCCCTGTGAGGCCCTCTGAGGCCAGGCCCCCAGTGACCTCTCTTCCCTCTGAGGCCACGCCCCCAGTGACCTCACTTCCCTGTGAGGACCTCTGAAGCCACACCCCCAACGGCCCTACTCACTCTTCATAGGCCCCACCTCTTAAAGGTGTAACAACCTCTCAACCGTGCTACAGATTGGCAAGCATGCCTTTAATTGATGGACGATTCAAGGCTTGGGTTTAAAATGAGGACTGCATGAATGTGAGGCACACTACGTGTGTGTGTGTGTGTGTGTGTGTGCACGCGCGTGAGCAGTCCTCAGGCTTGAACTCAGGGCCTGGGCGCTGTCCCTGAGCTCTTTTGCTCAAGGCTGGCACTCTACCACTTTGAGCCACAGCACCACATCCAGTTTTCTGGTGGTTCATTGGAGGTAAGCATCTCACAGACTTTCCTGTCTGGGCTGGTTTTGACCACCATCCTCAGATCTCAGCCTCCTGAGTAGCTGGGTTTACAGGAGTGAGCCACTGGCCCCTGGCTGCATGATTCTTTTTGTCTTCTACCTCATGATCAGAGTGCCCAGGCAGGATTGGAAGGTGCTGCAGATGAGCCTCCCCTGGAATATCAGCTACGAGAATTACGCTGCTTGGATGAAAGACATAGCTACATGGACACAGACAGGGTTAGCGTGTGGTGGTTCATGTCTGTAATCTCAGCCACTCAACAGGTAGAGGGGGGGAAGATCAGGGTTTAAAGCCAACCCAAGCGAAAAAAAGTTAGCAGGACCTGGGCTCAACCACTAAGCTGGGCATAGAGGTACCTGCCTATCATCCCAGCAACACGGGAAGTCCAGGCAGGACAATCTCAAGATTAAACGTGTATGTCACTATCCTGTTTTTGGACTTGGTGTATGTTGTGCTGTGTGTCCATGTGCCTGTGTGTCAGTCTTGGAGCATGAACTCAGGGCCTGGGCACAGACCTTCATCTGTTTTGTTCGAGGCTGGTGCTCTACCACTTGAGCCACAGCCCCACTTCCAGCCTGTTGGTGGTTCATTGGAGATCAGAGTCTCATAGACTTTCCAGCCCTGGCTGGCTTTGAACTGTGATCCTCAGTTCCTGGCCTTCTGAGTGGCTGGGATGACAGGTGTGAGCCACCGGCCCCTGGCTGCTTTTGCTTTTGTTCTTTTTCTTCTTCTTCTTCTTTTAAAGAGGGTCTTTCTCTGTGGCCAAGGCTCGGATCCCAGGCGGGAGCGACCCTCCTCCCCCAGCCTCTCCAGCAGCTCCAGCGGGCCCTGAGGGGGGCGTTTAATTCCAGGTTTAATTCAAGCAGATGCCACCAGGTGGCGACAGAGCCATTTTACAAAACATTTCAAATTCTTTTTGTTGTGTTGGGTTTTTGTTTGTTTTTTCATAACTGGGACTCCTAGCCGTGAGCTGGCAGGTCTCCCCCGTCCTCCCTGCCCCAGGAGGGGACAGTGGGTGGAGATTTCCTGTGACCTGGGGACAATCACAGAGACTCAGTGGATCTAGAATGACAGGCCGAAGAGGGACCTTCGGGCATGGTAGGGAGAGCTCCACAGACAGAGGGGCCCTGGAAGACTTCAGCAGGGCCAGGAGCAGGATTTGTGCTGCAAAATAAAGCCATCTCTTTTTCTTTTTTTTTTTTTTTGCCCTGTGCCTGCCAGGGGGTTCTGCTGGGTTTACCAAATGCACAGTCTGTGCCTGGAACACTCTACTCTGTTGGGGTGATGTAAAGCCAGCTACACCCAGTGCATTGAAGCAGCCCAGGCCGGGTATCCTAGCTCACACCTGTAATCCCAGCCAATCAGCTACCTGTGATTTGAGGATCCCAATTTAAGGCCAGCCTAGGCAGGAAAGTCTGTAAGACTCTTATCTCCAGTTAACCACCAAAGAAAGCCAGAAGTGGAGATGTAACTCAAGGGCAGAGCACCAGCCTTGAGTGAAAAAAAGCTCAGGGACAGCACCCAGGCCCCGAGTTCAAAGCCCAGACTGGCACAAGAAGAAAAAGAAAGGAAGATCAAGTACACCTGCACTTGTTTTGTTTTGTTGTCCTGGGTCTTGAGCTCTGGGCCTGGGCGCTGTCCCTCAGCTCTTCAGCTCAAGGCTAGCGCTCTACCACTTGAGCCACAGCACCACTTCTGGTTTTCTGGTGGTTCATTGGAGATAACAGTCTCATGGACTTTCCCACCTGGGCTGGCTTTGAACCTCGATCGCCTGGCCCTTCTGGCTCTTAACGAGAGCATAAGAAAGAGAAAACAGAAGGGCCCAAAAGACTGCAGAAACTTCCTGAAATTAGTGAAATACATGAATCCAGGTATCCAAGATGCTCAGAGGGACACAGCGTAAACGCAGAGTCCCACGGTGAGATGCATAAGAACCGCATGCACACACACACACACACACACACACACACACAGCGTAAACGCAGAGTCCCACGGTGAGATGCATAAGAACCGCGCACGCGCGCACGCACGCACGCACGCACGCACGCACGCACGCACACACACACACACCCTCCTCGGTGTGGCCTCCTGATCACACACACCCCATGCAGGCCTCCATCCCCTGACCCCTCAGCAGTGACCGAGACAGCCAAGCCCCATCCGGACAAGGCCAGGATGAACAAGCCTCTGGAAAGACTCCATTATCCCACTCAGGCAATGGTGAGGGGTGGAAGGAAAGAGAAGTCGGGTCCACACGGCGCAGAGTGGACGGACAGGAAGGGCCTTCTGGGACGACGCCTCAGACTTAGGAGACCCAGGGCTTGCCGGGCAGGAGGAGCCCTGTGTGCAAAGGGCCTGGGGCAGCTTGAGGAGGAGGAGGACAGAACGGAAGGCCCGGAGAGCGAATCGAGCGGAAGAGATGGAGCCGTAGGCTGTGGTGGGAGTTGGACTCCGATCCGGGTGGGTGAGGTCAGCGTGCGGGAGGACGCTCCAGCAGGGTTTGAAGCGTTGCCAGACTTTGGATTAAGTGGGCCCTGAGCAAGGATGGAGAAGGAAGGTGGGGGCTGAAGCAGGTGGACCCCGCGGTCGGCACCTAATGGCCGGTCCGCGTGGACGTACAGGCTCACCCGCAGAGGCGGGGTCTCACAGGAAGGGGCGGGGTCTGCGGGCGGGCGGGGCCTGAGGGGAGGCCTATGGAGAGGGGGTGACACGTGGGCGGGGCTTTGGGAGGTGAGTCTGTGGGTGGGAGGGGCCTGGGGCGGGGCCTGAGGAGAGAGGCCTGTGGAGAGACCAAGCCTACGGAGAGGCAGGCTGTGTGTGGGCGGGGCTTTGAGAGGCGGAGTCGGTAGTGGGTGGGGCTTGGGGCGGGGCTTGAGGGGAGGCCTATGGAGGTGGGTTGTGTGTGGGCGGGGCTTTGAGCCGCTGACATGCAGGGAGGGGCTCTGGGCGGGGCTTGTGGGGGGCGGCCCGGCGGTGGGCGTGGCCTGTGGGGGGCGGGGCCGGTCTCTGCACTGAAGGAGTGAAGCGCTCCTAGGCCTGGAGGCCGTTCTGGGCGCAGGGGTCCCGGCGCTGGACTCAAGCCCCGGGCACTGGGCTTTTCTTTTTGCTCCAGGCTGGCGCTCTACCCCTTGAGACACAGCTCCACGCCGGGCTTCGTCGTGGCTCACTGGAGACAAGCGTCTCCCGAACTTTCCTGCCCGGGCTGGCTTCGAACCGCGAGCCTCAGCTCTCATCTTCGGCGTCCACGTGCATCCTCCCAGAAGAGCCCCCCCGGGTGCTTTGAGAC